CTGATTCTTAGTTATTGCGACGAAACATAAACCCCCTAGGATTTCTTGTTTTTTCCTCGCTTCTCCCTTCCCGTCGTTCTTCCTCTTGAGAGGTCTCATTCCTCTTGAGAGAACTAGCTAGTTGTCAACCCTTTTTTGCTCGTGTTCTTAGCTCTGTGCCACTGCTATTGCTGCCTAGGCTATTAGTTTTTTTCGTCAAGTCTGATGACTCTGGCGCAAGACGCTATGCACGCTGACGCCATTTCGCTGGCGCCTGGCACGGCGACAACGCGCATGACGTCGTGCCCGCCGGCTCGCGCCTAACGCAGGCTAGTACGGAATAGCGCTCAATAACAGCATCTAGAAACTCCTGGGCGGTCCTGACCGACATAAAGCGGAGACGCTTAGACAGGGGAAGGGCATGACTTATGGCTAGCTGTGCAACTGCGTCACGCGACAACCAGACCGAGCGGGCAAGGGCTGCAGCGGCAGCGGACTCACGCTCAGCAGGCGTGGGGTCAGCGGGCAGCGCAGCAAAGGGGTCAGGACAGGGGAGCGTACCGTCAAGGTGGATAGCCAAGGAGTGGCCGTCCTGCCGCTTCCCAGTGAGGTGGCGGCGGAGGTCGACGAGCCACGTGTCAAACTCGATCGGCTGACCCTCCCCGTCAAACCGCAGCACAGAGTCTGCCATCAGGGGCGATGCAGCTGTGGTTCAGGGCGGTGCGGTGTAGTGCGGTGCAGTGCACTGCATAGCGGTGCATAGCGGTGCAGGGCGGTGCGGTGCAGTGCGATACAGGGCGGTGCAGTGCGGGGCATGGAGGTACAGTGCGGTGCAGATAAGTGCCGGGCGGTGCAGTGCGGTACAGGGGCCGGCTGCACGTGACGTGTAGATGGGCGTCAGGGCCGGGCGCAGGAGCGGGCGGTGCGGGCCGGGGGAGGGGCGGGGATGGGCCGGCGACGGGTCGGGCGGGGGCGAGGGACGGGCGCGGGAGCCGGCGACGGACGGGCGCGGGAGCCGGCGACGGACGGGCGCCGGGGCCGGCTACGGACGGGCTTAAGGGGGGGGGGGAGGGGGGGGCGGCTACGGACGGGCGCGGGGGCCTGCTACAGACGGGCGCGGGGGGGTCGGCTACGGACGGGCGCGGGCGGGTCGGCTACGGACGGGCGCGGGAGGGCCGCTACGGAACGGGCGCGGGGGCCGCTACGGACGGGTGCGGGAGGGCCGCTACGGAACGGGCGCGGGGGCCCGCTACGGACGGGCGCGTGGGCCGGCTACGGACGGGCGCGGGGGGGGCTACGGACGGGCGCGAGAGGGTCGCTACAGACGGGCGCGGGGGCCGCTAGGGGCGGGGGCAGGGGCCGCTACGGACGGGCGCGGGGGCCGCTACGGACGGGTGCAAGGGCCGCTACGGCGGGCGCGGAGGTCGCTACGGGCGGGAGCGGGGTCCGCGACGGGCGGGTGCGGGGGCCGCTACGGGCGGGTTGGACCTATCCTACTCATGATATCATATTAGAATGCAAGAATGACTAGAATGTGAGGGTACAAAGCAATATAGGCTAATGTGTTGTACCTTCTAAGGCACAAACCTATATAGTCTACAATAACATACTAAGTTATATTTGACGCATCATACCTACTAACTTCCCCCCTTTGCTAGTGCTGGGGAAGCGGTAGGCAATAGTTTGAGTTTTTTTACAGTATTGCATAATATCATCCATTTATTGTAGATTCGTCATCATCGACCGCGACTTGTAAATTCCAGCGCATAACTCCATTGGATTCTTACAATTGACGTGATGCAATCGAACACAAAAATTACGATTGACTACAATAAGGGTGAATTCATAAACCGGGATCAGAAACAAATTGGATCGGAAACATGCGGTACTGTGCGGTGCGAGAATTTGGATCTCGTCTCAGTAAGGTTCATTTTGGTTACGCGCGTTTCTCATTCTGGTCATTCTAGCTAGGAATTCACATTGATTCAAATTTCAACAACGGGCAAGCTAGCCTACAAAGATTGCACACATATTCCATTACACATATATTATTACATATAAGTTATTGAGCCATTTCATCGATTTCCCTGGATACGTCTTTGTTTCCCAAAAAATTGCGGGGAAAAAAAAATCGCCAAAATCGATCGTAATAGGTTGCTCCGCAACCAAAAAATATCATCCGATCGATTAGAATAGGTTGCTCCACAACCCAATTTTGTTTTTGGGAAAATATACCGGCGCTCAGTATTAGGGGCCTCGATAACATGTACGGTCAGTGATACGATATAAATAGTCAAAATTAGCGAGTTCGTAACATGTTTAATCAGCCGAGTTCCATCGTTAGTCAGAAACTACGGGAAAAAAGTTCCACGAATGGTCAGTAGAAGTAACCCCCGGCCATCGAGGAACGTTTTTCCGCTCGCACCAGCCCAATTTTGTCATCATTGCGGCTGGCGCGATATTTTTCCCGAGCTCCAGGCGCAGTTCGAAAGAACTACGTAAAGTATTCCCAAATAAAAAATCGTTCGACTTCGCACATACAAAAATCTAAAATTGAGACATTGAGCATTTAAATCACATAAGAAAATTGGGCCTCAGCGGGTCGCACATCGGGTGCGACATTTTGAATTATTAACAAACGCAAAAAAAAAAAAAAAAAAAAAAAAAAAAAAAAACACACACACACACACACATTTGATATGAAAGGGTAAATCTTTTCGGCATAAGTGCTAAGCCAATGGAGCTTGAATATTAAATTTTATTGCACGTGCGCTAATTTTTTTCGAGCATGGCAAGTCTTGTAGAGTCCTGATTTGGCAGAATCTTTTTCCGATAAATACATTTGTTGGAGAAATCAAAAGTCAACCAGGTTTCTAATATATTTGTTGTATTGAAATTAATATAAATTAAATGCGGTTCGGAGAATACCTTGATGCGCTTTTAAATATATTCATTTCGCAAAAATAAAGCTTCGTAATTATCTATATATGGTATTCTTTTCGAATGACTCGGGAATGAGAAGTTTATGGCTCGACTTTTCTTTGGGGCTGTATATGCGGTAGAGACAAAGCCACCATTTTTAATCATCGCGGAATGCGCTACCCTCAATGACGAAAGTATGTGTTTCGAAACAAAATCGTTTTTTCGTGTTTCTCGACTGACAAATTTCAAATGATTTTTAATTTGGGCATTTTGCGTTTTTTCGCTCGAACTGCGCCTGGAGCTTGGGAAAAATATCGCGCCAGCCGCAATGATGACGAAATTGGGCTGGCGCGAGCGGAAAAATGTTCCTCGACGGCAAGGGGTTACTTCTACTGACCATTCGTGGAACATTTTTCCTGCAGTTTCTGACTAACGATGGAACTTGACTGATAAAACATGTTACAAACTCGCTAATTTG